TCATGTATGAAATAATGCCTCAAATAGTACAGGCAGGGTGACAGTAATCGAGTGAAAACACGGAACCAGAGGGATCTAAGATACGGATAGTTTGACACAAGAGGGAGACCCTGATTAAACCTGAAGGAAAAAGTTTGTAGACGAATAGGGCAAACTCAGATCAACATCCCTAGCACAAAGGATGGAGGGTGGGAGTGAGGAAATCAAAGTGGGGTGTGAAGAGGTCTCATGGAATCCGCTCAAAATGACACATCAGAAACAGGTCTTAATAAGCAAGCAAGAAATTGTTATAGTGAACTGGTGATACGGGGATATAGGACAGGTGAAAAGCCCATGAAAAAAGTAGAGATACCACAACTGCTTAGCAGAAAATTGGTCAAAGGATCTACTTCAATTGTCTCTGACGAGTTAGTGGGGTGTCAAAACTGGCAAGACTCACTAACGAAATCAACGTCTGGAAATATACCAAGTCCACGGTCCGATTCTGGTAATTATCATTCATACTATGGACTCGAGACAAGGTGCGTTTCCCTAGGTCTTCCTAAAAAGCTAGTTAAATTCATTTTCTCAGGTGGGAGTTTATGTTGTGTTCTAATTGCTTAGAGCGATAACTGCTGATTTCGTACTTTTACGTGCACATAAACGCATATAATCACACACACACATACACACACACACATACGCACACATGAAAATATGCGGATATGCTTTAAGATTGGTATAAAATAAGCTAACCAAATCACTCGATAACATAAAAATGTATAAAGTTTAAATTTAGATGCAGTACTTCGCAACTCTATAGCTTGAAGTAGTCGCCCATATTATGAAAAAGGAAAGAGTAATCGGGGATAGCGCCAACCAAATTACTTTGTAAAGCCAAACGACACCTGACTATCGTCTTCAAGTGAGATCGACTTTCGAATCTCTTCGTCACACCGTTTCACTCGTATTTGGATTAAACTCTACGAAATATATGAATTTTATTTTCGAAATGTCGCACGGCATGAGAGGAGGCTCGTAATCCATGCGAAGGAGGGTGCACGTAAATTGATTGCACTGGAAAAAAATGTGCAATTGAGGGCTGAAAACATTCGACATTATACTACGATTAGAAATAGGTTCAAGCTGAAAACAGATACCTCCTTTACTGAAATATCTTATTACCCTGAAGTATCAATACCATATATTAAGTGCTCTCTAAAAGCTAGTACTATTCACCAAATCAATTATCTTCCTTAATAACTAGAAATATTTCCCATATTCCAATCATATATGCTATTTGCTTTGCTAAATTATTCAGCTAAATTATGTAATTGTACTATAGTTCAGTTGTTTCTGTTCTTATAATTTAAGGAGCTAGGTTCAATGAAGCTGTTGATTAAAGGCGTTCTATCAAAATTGAGTGAATTTATTATAAATACTCATAAGATTGCTAATATTAAGCGCTTTATATAAGTTCCCTAAATTTCTGGTGAAGGAGCTCTCTTTAATGTCTTTACAAACTTTACACCGAAATTATTAAATTCTTCCTTCTCAGTTCTTGAAGGAATTCCAGAAAGAACTCTAAAATTTGCCCCACCCGAATGCTCCTTAGAAGCGCTTTTAATATGCAGTGCAATTTGTTGACAAGAATTTCATTCAGAATCTAGGCAAAAAGTTATCTCATAAAGACATTTTTTGCCAAAAAAATTGAGTTTGTGAATGTAGACTATGGAGTATATGGGGCTTAATAACAAGTCCCTTGCAATTGGATGAAAGGAATAATTTCACTCAGATGAGATGTCTTGAAACTCTACTTAAATACGAAAAATTATTTAACTTATTTCGGAATACATTTTTCTCAAGAAGGCATTATTTTCCGAGTTGCATCTGGGCACTAGATTCGCTTGAATTACCTGGAAACCTAAAGTTTTATTGAAAGGTATGAAGATCAAGATGGTGCGAACCGTATTTTGTTCCCAGTCTCTCTTCGTCGGATATAAGTGATTTGGCCTAGTTTTCGCAAGCTTGTCCTCTTGTCAAGTGAACCTTAATGAGCGCACCATATCCAAAGTCCCTTTTTAAAACACTCATAATAATTTCCATCATTGTATCACTGATTCAGTACATTCCTAGACTTCTCGTCGCCATCTTAGTCGGTATCTTAATTGATCCTTGCCATTTCTGGCCTCGAACTATAACTCCACAAATCGATAACGTGGAAGAGCGTCTGGAATTGTACCAAGTCTACGATCTAATGCTGAGATTTATCATAACTAATGTGATAGAGAACTCCAAAACAAGGTGCATTTATCTAGACGCCCTTAATAGCACCACAAAGTTGCGAAAACATGGTCAAACTCCTTCTCAGGTGATGTTCTAGCCAGGAAGGCTGTATAGCTGAATTGGGGACAAGATTCTTAACATGAATGCCATATGTGGTTTTTAGTTTGACCCTCATAAAAGAAAGCGCATTTATGTTTTTTTCTACATTATTTAATAGTGTAACGAGGTTTAATGTGATGCAAGTGAACAAGTTCACTATTCCCACTTTCGGTAATTAATCAGCACTTTAATGTATTTTGTCAAAAAACTCTGACTCAAGATTTGATGCTTAACTTGTACACTTCAGATGCCTCTTCACCGGGCATTCATGGGATTAATAAATTTCTGTATCACAAGCTCAGAACAAGGTCACTACAATTTTCAAGTGTCTGACAGTAAATTGAGTATTCTCTATATTTGTGCGGTAGGCCTGCTCGCGATATAAGAAGTGCAACCAAACCTAGAATAAATGAAGCCTGTCGGAAGCGTATTTTTGAAGCAACCGAAATGAATTTTGACCTTGGATCAGAAGTACACATGCTGTCATCTTTGAGTGTCAAGTTAATATAGGCTATGCATATTGATAAGATGTGACTAACCACCACCTTTACTCGATTCATGCAACTGACAAATGGTCCAGGCTAGCTCATGAGCGATCTCGAGAGGTCGGTGTAGTCGAGAATGTAAGTGTAGGGCTGATTTGCGGTTACACTTTTGTAAAAAAATGGTTTACGTTCTGTTTTACGCACCGAGTAATCTGTGCCCAGATTACTTCGTCAAGGTGAGCTTTTTAGTAGAGCATAACTTGTTCCGAGAAACAAGGGATAACGTGATGCTACTTTTTTCAAGAAGAAATGGCTAATAAAATGTGACTTTTTTGTAGTTTCAAGTAACATCAAAACACCCTTAGAAACGGGATCTAGACCCATTTGGTTCTGGCTCACCTGGAATGAATGGAAAGTCAACGCAACAGAGAAGCCTTCCGGAACGATGATCTTCCAGATGCACTCCCTGTTGGGACCATAAAACTCTGGATTGCTTGGACTTGTGATCGTGCCCTGTTCTTGTTCAAGTGTGCCGCCACAGAGAGCTGAAATGGCAAAGTGTAGTAACTTTAGGAACCTGGATAAGGCAATTCTAATCTTAACGTCATTCCTGTGAACAGACAACTAAATAATGTAACATTTGAGACAATTTTCTACTTAAAGTTTATATTTAAGAAACATAACTGTACTTAATAACATTTTTGCTACCCTTTTGTCCTGAATTAAATCAAATTTGAGATATATTGAAACGCCATAGCTCCCCTACGTCAAATAAAATATATTTTTCTTTGCTGTTTAACATCGAATTATGTATAGGGAACAGAGAGCTAAAGTGAGGCCTTTGCTGCAAGCTTGTCTGAATGAGGCACTAATTTTTTCCCAGAAAATAGAATTTTGATTTACTCTCGCAGCTATAGTTCAAGTATAATATAGATCGGATTAGGATGATAAGGTTCTTTGCTTCTTTCATAGTTATTAATCTATCTATCCATCAATCGAGCATTATACCTAAATAGAAACAGTCGATAAAACAATTTTTTAAAAAGAAGTAGTTGGAGAAAAACTGAGTATCAAGATAGGCTTTTTCAGTAACTGGCCCTTTATGAGCTCAGAGTGAAATAAAATCATGAAAAAATACCGCGTTTTTAGCTAATCTCTTATACTAACGCGTCAGTCCCTTCCAGCATTTTGCAAGTAATTTTGTACTTGCCAGCTTTGCAGTACACACTTTCGGACGAATAAGGTGAAGCTTCTGCCAATCTTTTATCAAAAGATTCTTTTTGAGATAATACGGGGTCTATATATACTCATGAATTATTTCCATTAATAGGACACCAGTACCGGTAGGTTTTAAAGAATTAAAAGTAGAACTGTAAAATATTTGGGAACCAATATGGTATTATGTCCTCTTTTCATAGCATAGATTCTAACTCTATTTTTCAACTTTGATGTGCTTGCTCGGAGGCCTCGAGAAGCACATCTCATATTGCTTAGCTTTGATGAGCTCTGATTTTCTGTCTAACTTGGAGCTTCTCAGAAGCGAAATTGACCGTCATACAGGCAGATAGTCTGGAAATTAACCCAGCCCGCGTACATTGCTGCAAAAAGACATGATAAAAATTAAATTAGCGAAAATCAAGTCAAACTGACTCTAGACAATGACACTGTCTCCAGGAGACTAAAAGTGACCCCTCCCGCCCAGCACAAAAAGATACCCTCGTATTCAGCGATGAAGCCTGTGCTCGGGTTCCCTTCAGAGCGGCGGTATTCGATCCATAGACGAGACGAGGTTGAGATCAGAGGGGGTGGAGGAGTCAGCCCGCAGTACCGGCCTAAGGGTGAAAAGGCAATAAAGAGGGAAGTGAAATGTTGTTAAGGGAATTAGTTGTTATGATATAGAAAAGTTTATTGCTCTTTACATACGATCGGTCGAAATCTTCGATGAGGTCTCAGAGAACACACCTACTTCTTTATTCAATGATATTGAACTTGGAAAGTGTCCCATATGTTGGCACAACCGGCTTGTTTCTGGTCACAAAATTGCCCTTTTAGTTGGTCTGGTCAACGTGGGGAGGCAAATTGACAAGTGCTATCAACATCCATCTTCACTGAGAGAGGAGGTAGCGAAGCCAGCCGAGTGTGTGGGAAGGCAAATATTCAATAATCAGGAGCAAGTGGCGGACGAAAAGTTGTCAATGTCACTAAAGCTGTGTCGTACAAGTGGTTATATGTCTGACTCTGAGCTTGTATGTATTGGGTTCTCCCATTGCACTAAGGTCCAGAGCAACCTAGATAAGCTTGCGACATGAGAACATGCAATGGTGAAATTTGGTGACATTGTCAAGCCTTATTTACAACGGCTTGGAAACTATAAGCCACCAGAGCTTTGCGCGTTTTTTTGTGAAGCTTCTACAAATCGAGATGGTTTTCAAAAATTGTATGTCTAGGGGTAGGTGCTAAAAGATCAGATGTAAAATTTCCTGAATTTAATAGTTATTCTCAAATATCACCTCAATAAGGCTTTTATTCAGATTTTATCTCAAACAATTGGTTTCACTCACTTAGCTGTTCATTTATGTAGTCAATTATATATTTATATTCACATAGGTTTTATATTATATATTCGTTTATTATTATAATATACGAATTCATTTTCATATTCATTTTTAAATTCACTTTTAAATTTTAACTTAGTTATCCTGTGTATACTTTTTCACAATCACAGTGGAATCCAAATGCCTCATATTTGTTAGGAGATAAACTCCAACCACACTGGCTAAACAGAAGCGAGTCTATACCATATATCAATTAATATTCCTAACTTGAAATTATGCCCAGCCACAGATACCTGCTGTTCTCTGGGGAGCTCGTAGTACCCTCAGTCCCAACTGAGACTTCGGATCCTAAGAAGACGATTATATGATCTCTCCCTACTGCCATGAATTTGCATGAAGCGTTCTTCCCATATATATATATATATATATATATATATACATAAATATATATACCTA